GATAAATCCTGACTGATAAGTTTCAGGACTCCGAGGTTACTTGGTATGATGCGTTCTAAAGTTCCAGTGTCAAATCCACTTTTCCGTGTTTCCTGGTCCAAAAATATTTAGCTTCATTCTGCTGTAGAAGCTTTTATAGTTACTAAGCTCATCGTATGTATAATCTCGGGCATGTTTACGTGAGGCTGGTTTCCAGTTTTCTGATGGTTTGCTTGCATTTACAACCCTCTGAAAAATAGATGTAAATAATTGTATACATCATGAGAAGATGTGCAATTTCAATTGTGTTTTCAGAAAGCTTTATATAGAATGTCTCATATATACTCCAAACGTAGGAACCCGGGCCCATATTAATGAAACCGTTCTCATGCTCAAGCACGGATTTCGTGCTCAACTCTAATTTCTTGTAAATAAGATAAAATAAATAAGATGATTTTTGCATGATTTAAGCGAATAACAAGAGTACTGGTTTGAACACAGATTCCTTTCTTGTTCATGAGAGCGGTTTCATGTATACGGGCCCTGGTTACGATTGACCTTTATTGTTGTAGCGTTATGAGTCGAGGTTTTCAACATAAACAGAGAAATATACCTTGAGGAATGTTTTTCCTTGAGAACTCCGTATCGCTTTGACCGCTCCAACGATGACAGGTACAAGTGTCGACAGCCCAAGTAGGAAGCCAAATATAGTTATGTAGTACGGAAACTTGTATTTACCATACGTGGGAGGTTTGTATGTTGCTACGGTGGAAACAGCGATTGTCTAAAACAAAAGGTACATAATTAGTAACCGTTATAACAAATAAACAGATGTTTGTTAAGTACATGGAGTTTGTTAAACGTTTATCTATGCGCAGCAGCAAACGTCATACGAAAATGGTGTTCATAGTTAATGGACCACTCAAATGTGCCGTATCGCTGTCATTACCTGAACATGATAACACGACACTCCAACTCGGTAACATAAAGCTGATAATGGGTTAACTAGTCCATATCACCAACAATTTAACGCTGAACATTAAACATTGGGTACGAATTTAATGACTTTGGTTTGTTTTGGTCATGAGGCAGAACCAAAACTCTCGCTTAGATAACTGCTCATCACCAAGGCCAAAAGCAAACTTAAGAGCGAGTTATGGCATAGTAAGACGTTAAGAAACAAAATTGTAGTTAGCAAATAAACAGATCTCAAGTATTGCAATGGGTGCAGCATATTTTTTTTGGTTGCCTTTTTGTCCAAAGGTGATGATCAGGAAAGAAATTCACTATAGCTGCAGAGAGTTGCCCAATAAGTCGCCTCTTAACGATCATGTAGTCTGTAAACGCAAATATATTCTTTTCTACAGGAATATAACAGGTGTTCGTAAAACGTTTGTTACATAACATTCAGTATAATTTAGACAATGGGTGAAAGCTAGAAACATACGGGGTTTTTTTGCATTAAATTTCAAATCACTTTATTTGTACATAAAGGTCACCGGATAGATTGATGAACCATCATCAAATATTTCATTGCTTTTATCATTTGTTGTAATATTTCGAAAAACAGATTCCTGAGGAGCAACTTCATGCACAGTATTGACATTTGAATAGTGTACCTCTGTGAAAACTAAGTCTTTATCAAACAGATAATATTTCAACCATACCTGCAATTGTTAATACCGTATATGCTACGAAGAATACCCGTAAAATCTAAATATAAATTGGAAACGTTTTAACTGCATGACAATAGGTCCAATAAAACATTTCTTAAATAAAAAACCAATGACCACGGAAAAATAAAGATAAACAAAGAACCAATATCAACAACAGTGCTCTGAGAGTAATAAAATGCAACGAGGCAAGGCCGGGATTCGAAATCTTGACCTCCGATCAGAGTATGGTCGCTCAAACAAACTGAGTTACTTAATCAGACCTCAGATCAGACTGTGGTCGCTCTAACAAACTGAGCTACTTGATCAGACCTCCGATCAGAGTATGGTCGCTCTAACAAACTGAGCTACTTGATCAGCGGTAAGTTTTTGCCCAGCATGACTTGACGTATCAACTTAATGGAAGGACACTGCATATATGAAAGGCAACATTAGAAATCATTGTGTTTTGCCTCCATTGGAACAAGAGAACAAGTGATTCTACGTCGCATGATATTACCTAATGCTAATCGGAATAACACAGAATTTTACGATAATTATATATATTCGTAGATTCACTGACCAGAAGTATGCTCGGGGCGATGAAAGTCAACGCTATCCTCATTAGGACTGGAATTCCCCTTCCTAGCATTAACTCTGCATCACGAGAGAATCGTTCAGCTCCTAAAAACAACAACAGATGTATTGGACTGATCAACATTAATACACAGCGGTAGATAATAACATCGTTCAATACATGTGAATTATATACAGGATATATACGAATTTCGCTTATATTACGACAGTTATCAATCAAACAGTTTCGTTGGCACGGATGGCAGCATGCAATGGGTCTTAATATTGAATAAAACCGGATTAAAGGGAGAAAACAACGTGGTTTGGCAAATAACCCTAAACCTTTTCACGCCCGATCGATGAATCGAACCCCGGCCGTTCTGTAAAAGACGAAGGCGCTATCCACTGCGCCGCCCAACCATCCATTAATTTAAAAATACAATCTGTTTTGTCCTACCGTATATCCAACCGATGATGACGCACTCAATGAAAGCAAGCATGGGAACACCGAAGGCAATGTACCAGTCCAACACAACAAACACATATATTCCTCCCTGAAATAAACAAACAACACACATTTATTTATTACTTTTGTATTGTTGTTTACGTCCCTCCTGCTACATCTTAGGTAAAGTAAAGACGGGTATCAAGGGAGACACAAAAGAAAGGGTAGGCAATAGAGTAAAAAGAGATCACAAGTGCTGGAATCGGTGAAGCAGATCAACTTTGGACTCTTCTACGTCCTTTAAATAGAAGCCACCGAGGAAATCCCCGCGATTCTGCAGAAGTCCCACATTAGTCGCATCTAAGGATATACAGTAGGGTGTTTATTATTGTTTAATCACGCTTACGAGTATCTTAGTTAGGTGTTCAATTGCAAAGTTTAAAACAAATGCTGAATACGAAACAACCTTAATTTGTACAATCATGTATTACCTAACAAGTTATGAGTACAAACCAATGACACGAAGTCAATGTTAAAAGTAAAACTTGACATCTTACCTGTGTACATAGAATCAGCCCTAAAAAGTACCACAATATACAGCCAACACCCTGTACGAGGACTCGTCTCCGACGGAGAGTGGGGAACTGGTCCATCACGGCTGATATTACGGTCTCAACACAAGATAGCTGTATAGAAGATAATGTTTCAAGAAACAGGTTAGCAATATAGCATACAGGTTTAATGCCACATGCTTTACAGGTGAAAAGATTTATGCCTGTGAATATCTACATAATTAAAGTGACAGGCCAGCTAAACATGATATAGGATTTAATGGTTCTCTCAGGATAGCTATAAATGGGATAGGGTTTAATGGCAAAGATTAGCTATACATGAGGTAAGGGGTTAATGGCAAAGATTAACTATACATGAGGTAAGGGTTTAATGGCAAAGATTAGTTATACATG